CATAATAGTTCCAGGAAGAGAAACAGGTTCTTTGAAAAATCAGTCTAAATAAATTTCTGGCTTTAACACTTTAAAGTAGGAGTTAGGGGCTCAGGGAGCTACACTATCCTGACTCACATAAACCTGAATCAATTTATCTTTCTTTCTTAGGTCTACATAAATCTGTTTCCATTTTTAAACAATTTTTTAAAATCCATGGCCTGATTTATTTTACATCTACTTTCTGCCCTCCACTCTCCAAGTCAGAGTCCATATCCTCAGCTGGTATTTGATCATTTGTATGATGACCCTGTAGGAGCATAAACTCTAGACAAGTGCTTCTCAAACTTTAGTGAATAGAAAAATACCTGGAGAACTTGTTTAAAAAAACACATTCACAGGGGCGCCTGGGTGGCTCAGTTGGTTGGTTGTCTGCCTTCAGCTCAGGTCAAGATCCCAGGACACTGGGATCCAGCCCTGAATTGGGCTCTCTGCTCATCAGGGAGCCTGCTTCTCCCTCTCCCTCTGCCTCTCCCCTCCACTGGTGCACACACTCTCTAATAAATGAATAAAATCTTAAAAAAAAAAAACCACATACACAGATTCTTGAATTTAACTCTGGGGTAGGGTTTGGGTAGGCCTGGGGTGGGTCCCAAGACTTTGTAATTCTAAGATGTGCCCAGGTGATTCTGAGGCTCTACTGGCCCACAGAGCATCCCTGAATAGCACTATTCTGAGACCCTAATGCCTAATCAAATTTTGGTGAGCTGATGGCAAGATACATTTTAATTTAATTCATGGTATGAGTTACCAACTTTTCTGAGTGCAGAATAAGTAAGGACTATACATCAACTGAAAATAATTATTTTCATCATCCTTTCCCCTACTATTCATAAGGTAGTAAGGCACAGTAGTTAGGAACATAGACTTAGGAGCCAGCCTGCTTGGATCTAAAGCCTAGGTCTGCCCCCAATAGGTATGTGACCTGGAGGAAGTTACTTAGCCACCATGGGCCCCAGTTTTCTCATTTATTAAAAAAAATAATAAAACCATACCCAATTTCATAGGACCATTGTGATGATTAAATTAGTTAATAAATATAAAGTGCTTACTTAGAACAGTGCCTGTACCTATCATGCACTCAGTAAAGGTTAGCTGTTGCTATTATTAAGGTCTAGTTAGGCAGATGTACTCAAGTGGAATTAAAGGGAAAACTGTAACCAGAACCATGAAGAGTGCTAACATTATTCACGAACATTCATCCAGAGCCTTCACTTCTTTTTCTTCCTGCTGCCAAACTTCCATCATTATTAGCACTTCCAGAGGAGAGGAAAGCATAAAGACTAGGGGTCAACTTTGTACTCCTTTCTTTTTTAAAGATTTATTTATTTATTTATTTGAGACAGAGAGAATGAGAGAGAGAGAGCACATGAGAGGGGGGAGGGTCAGAGGGAGAAGCAGGCTCCCCGCCGAGCAGGGAGCCCAATGCGGGACTCGATCCAGGGACTCCAGGATCATGACCTGAGCCGAAAGCAGTCGCCCAACCAACTGAGCCACCCAGGCACCCTGTACTCGTTTCAACAGCTCTAGGTAAGAGTTTGATGTGATTATCTATGATATCCCTGCTTTCAATTACATGCCCATTTCACAAACATTCTCAAGTTCACAATATGGAAGTGTTCTTCTCCAGCAAGACACACCAAAATTAGACTGATTGTAGAGAGTTACCAGCTCTAAAAAAGATATTTGACTGTCTAACAGTGTGAAAATGCTTAAAGAAATCAAGACACATCTGTACAATAGTGTATTATGCAGGCATTAACAATGATTATATGAAGAAATTCTAATTATATAGAAAAATGTTAAGTTTCTGCATTAAGACAGATTCTAAACAAGAGACACAGAAAAAGCAACAAGTTCAAATTTAGAAGAGTGTCCTTAGTTCAGAAGTTTATTTATTATACTTTGTTTCATAACTAATAGTGCTTTATGCACTATGCAAGCCAGGAAATAGAATGCTCTGCCCCATGGGCTCACAATCTCAGAAACACAAACCGAAATGGGACATGCAACAATTAAAAGATAAATTAGCTCTTAGAGAGTGAGAATTCTTTCTAAGTCTCTTCTCCCTAGGACCTTTCTTTTCCACTGTTTTTTCTCTTCCACACTGTATTTATAAGCAAAACATAAGTGAGAAAATATCAAGAACATGTTCTTTTGTTTAAGATTTAATGAAGAGTACCAAAGAATAGAGAAACTGATTTCAAGGGTGCTGCAGAGAGAGTGCTTTGTGCATGAGGACTGTGACTCTGACTCTAAAGAACAATTAAGCAGTAACATTTGAGGGAAGACATTAAGGAGAAGCTATGAGAGAAGATATCTAAGTGTCCTTAGGTTTTATACAGACTACAATGAGGGCAGTGATAAAATATTGCCAAAAGAGGCATTGCTCAAACACTGTGAGACTTAATAACTGGAGTAAATAAGTAAGAGAAACACGGAATCTAATCTAAATGCATCAATCGTAACTTGAATGAGTTTACTAAAGTACTCTTAATTAAGTCATTGGGAATTATTTTAGCGAAGACAGTGGAAGGATGTCAGGTCTATGAGAGAAACAGATAAAAACTGACTATATTCAGTATATATATAAATATTTTGATGGAAGAGGAATCAAAAGGCCGAGTACAAACTAGAAAGAAAAATCAGTCTCAATGACATTTACATATTCATTCTTTTTTTAAAATGATTTTATTTATTTGAGAGCGTGCGTGCGCACAGGCGCGTGCACACGAACAGGGGGGAGGGGCAGAAGGAGAGGGAGAAGCAGACTCCCCACTGAGCAGGGAGCCCGACACGGGGCTGGATCCCAGGACCCTGAGATCATGACCTGAGCCGAAGGCACATAGATGCTCAATTGACTGAGCCACCCACATGCCCCTACATAATCATTCTTAACAGTAAGATCCAACAGTCTACAAGCAGTCAGAGGAAGAGTTTAACACCCTAGAGAGAGAGTGCATAGAGGAAAGAGGATGAGGTAAGAGGAAAGGCAAAGGGAGAGAGGAAGCCAATGTAAAGATGTAAAGTACCTCAAAGACCAGAACCAGAGCACGGTATCTATAATGGCTCAACCCAGATACAACTAAACATGGAGAAATCAAGAGAAAAGAAAATTGTACAAAAGCAACTCTGCATCTCTTTAAAGGGGGCATATTTGTTCTTTGCCCTTAAAGTTCATTTCCCAGGGACTCCTCAGAATCGGATTTCTTACAGCTAGAGTTACCAACCCTTGTAAGCTGGCTGCAAGGCAAGTCCCAGGGAGTTGGAAGGGCTACTACTTATTGTGTAAAAGGGGGCCACACTGGAAGTCTACTAAATCAAGGATGGTAATGCATATGCCAGTTTTCCTGTTTAAGGTTGTAAGCTGTGAGAAGTGTATTATGCATGATCCATAATTTGTATTAGTTGTGTGTTCTCTGTTCAGTATAAACTTAACCTACTGATGACTGAACTTAGGAGTCTTAAAGACTTTGACTCTTTCTGTGGTTCTATACTATAACTTAACATAACAACTAATTTTAAGCTCCAAACAATGTTCTTGGTGTGAAATATATAATTATTTTTGATTCTTCTTATTGAAACACATTTAATAGTGATTATGAGGACAATTATGATAATTTGAACTTTGATTTATACCCATTTAATTTTACAAAGCTTTCACACAGGTTACCTAATTTAGCAATTGGTACACGGTAGTAAATTGGTCTTCACAGCAAGTTTTAAACTATATACCCTACCATGGCATTTTAATACCAACTTGATATTTTATAGGATTTTTAAGGTAAAAATCTATGTCATGCTCATAATCCTTAAACAACTGATACTTTAAAAAGAGAATAAAACAATCAGATCACATCTTCAAAGCAAAGACAAGAAAACCACATTTTGAAAGCAAATATGGAATTTAGATTTAATTATCCAAGATAATTAATTTCTTGAAAAAGTCTAACCTTAAAGAATATATTTTCTTTCTATGAAAGGCAGATACTCAAAAATCATGTTAAATTTTTAAATATTCTAGGCTCAAACTTAGGAGAGATTATTCTCTTAAAGAAGTAAAAATAATGGGGCACCTGGGTGGCTCAGTCGTTAAGCGTCTGCCTTCGGCTCAGGTCATGATCCCAGGGTCCTGGGATCGAGCCCCAAATCGGGCTCCCTGCTTGGTGGGAAGCCTGCTTCTCCCTCTCCCACTCCCCTTGCTTGTGTTCCTGCTCTCGCTTATCTCTCTGTCAAATAAATAAATAAAATCTTAAAAAAAAAAAAAGTAAAAATAAGAACACTGTTATTCCACATATTGCATGAAACACAGAAATAAAATGCTTCCATGTATATTAATATTATTCTCACAGCCATGTTCCACTACATAATGAAACACCTTAAAGAAAACGTACTATTATTATATAGTCCTTAGCTTAGCTTCCATGGGCCACAGTACACTCCAATTGAAATTAATTGCATAAATTAACCTGTAAGTTATTTTGTATCGGGGAAAGTTACAGTGATTTGTCTATGAGTAACCATCCATGAAAGTATGTTGACTCTGATGTACTTTCTCCTATTAAGAATTGGTTCTTGACAGAATTTTATCTTCATTTTTTTTTTTTTTTTTAAAGATTTTATTTATTTATTTGAGAGAGAGAATGAGATAGAGAGATCATGAGGGTCAGAGGGAGAAGCAGACTCCCTGCTGAGCAGGGAGCCCGATGCGGGACTCGATCCCGGGACTCCAGGATCATGACCTGAGCCGAAGGCAGTCGCTTAACCAACTGAGCCACCCAGGCGCCCCTCAGAATTTTATCTTCAAACTAGAATTTTAGTTATTCTTCCTTCTGTGCCACAGCAGAAAAAAATTTCAACTTTATTTTACTGAGAGAAGCCCTCAGAATCACTCAGTTGAGCTACAGAAGGCTGACATTTTGAAAATTAACAGACAGCAGTTTTTGGGCCATATGAGATACCTGTTCCCTTATTTCTTTCATTTTTTCCAATCTCTTGAGTTTTGTTGCATATTCTTGAACTTCTTTTAATCCAATATCTGTGCAGAGACGAACCAAGAAACGCAGACCTATTGTAAAAAATAGTTTTAGAAAAATATTAATGCACAATGTTGAAAATATAACAAATCAATGAACTCAGTCTTTTGGGACACAAGTAGGAATGACACAAATAGTGGTTGTTTCTATTAAAAATTAATGACAGTTTGTATTCTCTGGTCCTATGAAAACGGACCTCCTTGAAAGGGGACCTAAAGGGACAGACTCTCTCCACCTGCCCTGCCCTCAGGTGAGACCACACCATCTACTTAGAGCCCTTCCCATACTCTTTATGTCCTTATCTGCTTTACCTTTACACCACTTATGACTACTGACGTATATATTTGTTTACTGTCTTTCTCTTCCCGGGGGTTTTCACCTGTTTTACTTTCCGCCACACCCACAGTGCTTGAACAGTGCTGTATTCCAACACTGTAGCATCACTCCACAAGAATTTGTGAATAAGTCAGCAATTCATGACCACTAACATATTGTAAAAGTAATGGTACTAAAATAATTTAAGATGTCACTATATAAATTGCCTATGTATACATTTATCTTAATAATTCACAATAAGAAGTAATTTACACATATCGTACAAATAATACTTAACTATTTCTCTTACCTACCTATCCTTAGAATGAATGGCTTAGGAATATTTAAAGTAAAATAAAAATCATTGTTTTTGGTAGATGTTCTCCGAAATTTAGTAGGTCATCTGAACTCTATAGAGCAGGTCAATTTTTGCTAACTGAAGAATATATTTTAAGAATGAATTATCCTGTTGGGTTTATCAGAAAACTACTCTGCTCAAGATGAGATATTACATGGGTGCAAATGTTTTTTCTATAGCTATAGTTAAGGTAGACAAATTATAATTTGTTTTGAAAATTATCCAGGCTGAAGTCATCTTGAACATTTCCTATGGCATAGATAATCATTCATTTAATTTTCAGAGTGACTATTTTCTTTAAAAAATATTTTATTTAGAGCGCCTGGGTGGCTCAGTCGTTGAGCCTCTGCCTTCGGCTCGGGTCATGGTCCCAGGGTACTGGGATCGAGCCCTGCATCGGGCACCCTGCTCAGCAGGAAGCCTGCTTCTCCCTCTCCC